AAAAAAAATTGCTTAGAAATATTGGCGGTTCTTTGTTCATAATGCATATTTGAACATAAAATAAGACGATTAAAGGCAAGACGGAGGCTCACTGACATACTTTAAAATATGTTTCAGCATTTTGTTAATCGACGGCGGATGGCCTACTAACGTTACCCCTGTAACTTTACCCCAATCCGATCGCGGCTCTCCCGGTTTTAGATTGATGGATAAACTGTTTGATTTGTAATCATTAGATTATTTTCACATTTCACTTACTCTGCTGTGCATGAACATAGCTGTTCAATTTGTGTGTTTCCCATTTGAATGGTCTGCTAAGCAGGCGGCTGCTGCTTGCGCTGGGACCTAACGTTATAGGCTTTAGCTTCAATTTTGATGAAATTATTCTCTAATAAGTTGCATATTATGTCGTGGATATATCCCTCGAATGCATACTGCTGTCCCTTTTGTCTTGCTCTCTCAGATTTTTAACTTGTTCGCCAAAAATGACTAAATATCTCCTTGGGAATGTCTGACACCGGTGCATTCACACTTTAATAGACGTGGCAGCCGCGAAAGCTTGACAGGCATAGTAACAGTAACTAAGGAGGGCGGGGCTTAGCGAAGGGTCAATTATAGCCACGTTAATAACGTTTGTAAGAAACCAAACCGTTTGTAAATCCGTCAAGATTTCAACGAGATAAGTATTTGTGTTTGTGCTGATCACTCATCTTACATCAGGTACCACAGAGCCCGCCAGAAAGCTTGCCTGTGACAAGATGGCCGATGATGATGATGATAGAGACTCCGCCGTAAGACATCTAGCCTTTATTAAAGATATCTATGGCACCAGCATCTGCAGGTTTTTTTTTCTATTCAGAAGTTGGTGGAAGTTATGCGCAAATATTATAGTTCCAAGGTTTTCTGCACTAAAGCTGGTGAAAACCTATCTCAGGTCCACAATGTCAGATGACAGATTAAGCAATAGCTGGGTTTCAGACACGTGATTATGATGACGATTATGATGGCGCGGGAAGGCGGGGCGATTTCAGATGGAGGGCAGGAAGTAAACATGGAGAATACGTCTATGGAGGAAACCGTTGCGGAGAGTCCGTATTGAGTCTAATTTACCTTGATCATTTAATGTCCCATTCCCACTGATCCCCTGAACGACATCCTAATGCTATATAAACACAGACACAAAAAAATACGTTGGCTAGCTAACATACCGTCGCTGCAGAGACACGGCATTAACAGACTCTGCTCCTTCCAATCCGCAGACGTAACGTTACATTAAAAATCCAATTTGTTGTTCTGTAAGCTTTTTACACTTCTTACCTTCATGAATGACAATCTTTGGTACTCTATAAAAACCCTTTCCCTTTTCTCGATTAGAACGATTGGAGCCGCCGTAAACTACACAAAACACTGATGGCAGATCCTCAGCTATTTCACTTACTGCCCTCCATCTGAATTTTCACGCTCTCGCGATGCAGCAGCGTGACGTCACGTGAAACCAACCTATTTAGGAGGGCAAAGGCCTAGCCTGGTTAAAACCAGACCATTCTCAGTTGTAACGGAGTTATGGTCTGGCAAAGCGTCATAGACAAATCATTTCCAGAGGGGCGTCACCAACGGACGTCGCGGATAGACCTAAAACCAATCAGAGCGATGAAGGAGATGACGTATGCAGAGCGGCGGAGAAACATCTCCCGAGTGTTGTTCTTTGCTCGGTTTTTAACAAAAAGGAAACGTTCAAATCGCTTAAAACAGACACGATAGCTGATTCGAACGAGTGATGTTCGACGGCGGCATCCATCTTTGTAATGTAGGCTACAAAATCTGCTTCAAAATCCCAGCGCTGTCGTCATCGTGTAAAGCCCGCCTCAACGTTTCTGATTGGTGCCTCGATTTCGACGGATTGGAAGTGGGCTTGAATGAGCTCTTTGCCAGACTACCTTTCAGAGCAAACTTAAATTTGCTGGAAGTTGTCTGGGTTTTCCCAGGCTAGTAAAGGCCTTAAATCTAGATGAATTTGCTGATCATTTTGCAAAAAAACCCCACAAAAATCATAGAAATGTGACTGATACTGAATATGTAATGCAAATGTAAAAAATATAATGGAAATGCAAATACAGTTACTGTGACTGATACTGAATATGTAATGCAAATGTAAAAATGTAATGGAAATGTAATTACAGTTACTGTGACTAATACTGAATATGTAATGCAAATGTAAAAATATAATGGAAATGCAAATACATTGTTGAATGATTATAAACATGGTATTTTGCCTATTAATGCCTGCAGTGCAGTGCAGAAAATGATATGACAACAATAAGGTATAAATGTAACTGGCCCCTCTAACAGTACAACTGGCCCCAGCTTGCACCTCCCCCCCCCCAGTTGAAATGGTCTAGAACCACCACTGATAACTACACGCAGGAACAATTACATGCTTTAGACAAGAAATAATATTTCTCACCTGTTCTCTTGCAGTCAGATTTGTTCTCATTGTTATTACTTGTGCTTACAAGTCATGTATTTTACAAGATGAACGCACATGAACACCACCACAAAGTCATTATTAGTGTGGAAACTAATATTTGCTGAGCCCTGCGTTTCTGTGCCACTGAGAAAACATGGTGGACACAATGGATGCATCGTCTGTATTGACTGTAAATGAGTTGCGTGTACAAAATACAAGTAGTATCGTACAATTACTATTTAATATCGATTCAATTTACAGAACCTTCATTAATTGAATAAAAACATAAAAAAGCAAAAGCACACCTATGTGCATGCTTTAATCATTTTCTAGAAGTTACAAATTCTTGCTATACTTTTTTTGTAAACATGCAAGGTACATCGCCATCTTACTCTTCCTAAAAGTATTTGAATGCACATGATGTCACAGGAGTTTTGTGTCAAGTGTGGACAGACATTTTTTCTTTATTTTTTTAATCCTATAAGGACATTAAGTATAAAGCCAAAAACACACACACCCAATTCATACAAGTAAATTAATGATTTATAATCTTGTGTCATATATCCAATAACATTCTCCAATAATGCCCAATTATTCTCTCTGATAAAGGTGAAGTGATGTCCACATACAGTATTTGGTTCCTCACAACAGGGTGTGAAAAAGTGTTATGCTACTCCCGGATCTGTGACGATTTTCTCCCTCTCCATTTCTTTTTTTTCACACTGATTAAAACAAGACCTTAAGGCATGCAGGGCATTATTTTCTCAGTGGGTTTGTGGGTGAGAGACTGCAAGAGAACAGGTGAGAAATATTATTTCTTGTCTAAAGCATGTAATTGTTCCTGCGTGTTCTGTGTACACAAGAGAAGAACCCTTCTTGCCTCCCTGACGGATTTAGCGGAACAGGAGACATTCTTGGGGTTCTGAAAGTAAATGGGATGGATAGAAAAAGTGAGAGACAGCTGGAGAAAGTCAACGCATACAGTGGAGAGGAGAGCAAGAAAGAGGGGAATGTGTGTCTGGATTGGAGACATATACACATATCAGTCAGAGCGGAGAGAATCTCCTCAGTCCCATCTGCTCTCTACACAGCTCTCATTACACTCACAGGCCCATCCATCAGCCCGCAGCCACACAACTCTGCCACAGCCCACATTAATGGAAAGAGGAAAGAGAAAGAGACGTCGGGAAAGAGAAAAGGAAAAAAGACAGGAAACAACTGAAAGAGAGAATGATAGGATGGGGGAGAGGAAGATAAATTAATATAATGTCACATGCGTTTCTAAATCAGGCCTGAGAAGAGGACTTGTTAATACTAAGTAACTATGTCACAGAATGTTCTGCTTATTGGCCCTATATCTTTGAGCAATGTTTTGTGTCCAAACCCTTGACCTTTCAGTCATGTGGTGCATTCCATTAGAAAAAAAATCACCATAGCTGCATGTGGATAAATGCCACTGTGATAAAACCACTGAAGCAGAGTAACAGTCAGATTTATGGGGACAAATCACTTCAAGAACAGCAGCAATGACGTGGAATCGTATTCAGACACATTTGGATAACAACATATCAAGCACAATGGGAAAAAAAAAAATCATGCTTGACCTTTTCACAGAACTACCTGAACTTTTGATGATTATTGTAAGTCAGATTTAATAATGCAGTTCTTTCTTCCCTGGAACTAGAAAAAAAGATATAGCTATTGAAAAATATATTTGGAAAATCTGTGTGTGTTTTAATTTTTGTTATGTTTTGTTTTCAATGAAAGTCAACAGGGTCAAATGTTGTTGTGGACCCCACTGACTTTGGACAAGAACAGAACAACAAGAAATATCTTCTTTTGTGTTCTGCAGGAGAAAGTAAGTCGTTCAGGCTTGGATCATTATCAAGGACAGAATTTTCAATTTTGGGTGAACTATTCAATGAACATTTTCAACTAACATGAAGTATCCACCAAGAAAATATCCAAATGCATTTGCATTAGTTTTGAACGGTATACTGTTTTTATCATTTTAAACATCTTTAATGAGATGTTTTGTTTTAAAATGTGCTTGTGTTATCTGTTTAAAAGAAATGCTACTGGTTTGCTATTTTGTTATGTATAGGCCTATTCACATTCATATATTTTTATGTGACTTAAATTTCATAGTATCCAAAAACTGTTTGAGCCCACTGATATTCATGCAGTGAAATTGTTTGTGAAAATGTTCTTAATATTAACCTATATTTTAACAAAATCTTTGTTTTCATCCATTTAATGCTACACAATAATTGCTGTCATTCTACTTCAGTTTTCAGAGTTCTTCACCAGTAATTACATTCAAAGTGATCTAAAAAGTGCACAGCAGGTTTTTACTGAGTTTCCCCCCCATAGTATGGTGAATTCAGGTTGATTGGGACACTTTTCCAAGTCATCTCAATGACAAAAAGTGTCCCAATCACCCTGAACCACCATATGTATTGAGCAAATATGTGCAATAAACAGTCTACATCCATTCAGCCTTAGTAACAGAATGCTGAAGTGAACTCCCTACCTGCTCTGGGCCCTGAAAACAGATCCGACACAACGGAGTCCTGACTCCACTGTCCGTGCAGCTGTTCAGGGATAATCTCTCGTCCAGCTTCTCCTTAGAGCAATCCTCAGATGAGCTGCAACAGTCCAGCGTCCTCGGCGGATCCACTGCGCTATGAGTCCAGTCTTCGGCCCCTAGTGTGTCCAAAGCCTCACCTGTCACCGGCTGATAATGTCCGTTGGCTAAAGAGTGGCTCTCTGTGGCGCTGCTCGTCGCATTGCCCTCTGCGTTTAGTTCGTTCATGGGTGTGAAGACAGGTGGCGATGCCGACGGTGCCGGTGGCCTGAGTAGGAAAACCTTCAGGTCACTGAACAAGACGCAACAGCGGCCTTTCTGCTTGCCCTGGTGGCGCAGCATCGGTCTGCGACTCAACAATCCCCAACACCATACAATGACACCGATAGCCAACAACATGTGCCCGTCTTATGAATAATGGAAAGGCGGTCTATGTTTTTAAACGGCTTATAAAACTAAGGCTATCTGTTACTGGTCTCCAGCAGGTCACATAACAGAACTTACTGTTTGGTTTCCAACGAGGAAGAAACACCTGTGCAGCCGGTTCAGTCTCGTGAGCAACACTGCTTTCTACTCACCCTCACCCCAAGTGACCGTTTGAACATGGAGAACGTGTTTATTTTCAACAGTTCTTCTGAGAGCTACATCAGAGGCGATTGCTCGCGCTGGTGTTCCACTGAGAAGCTGACGATTGTACGCACATGCTATAGTAGCTGTCAAAAGTGGAAACGTGCAGTTGTTACCTTAAAACACCTCTTCAGTCATATTAAATAATATTTTACTTGGATAAAACCAGTTCATTAAGATTTTACACGTGAAGCACATTTTAGGTCACCCGACAAAACAGTTTACTGGGATTTTAGAGCTGTTACCTACAACAAATTGCCTTATATCCACAGAGACACGAACATTTTCACATGAAACTGCGGACAAGTACAGTTTTGAATGGAAAAATGTCGGGGATTCCCGCGAACAGCCTCTGACAAAGAGCTCCTGAGGTAGTGGCATCTATTCATCAAAGGAGGAAAACAGAAATACAGGATATTCGCCAGCAGAGCCAAACAAATGGCAGCCTTGGTTTTTCCTAATTAAACAACTAATACACACACGCTCAGTGGACCAGCCATGAAATATCAATTTCTGTTCTACACTTCACATTATCCACGATCATTAGCAATCTTCAAAAGCGATGCGATAGCGGACTACAGTGTAATTTTTTGTTAATGTGAACGCAAAGTGTCTTGCGTGAAACGAAATCCAGCCACAATCTTGACAATTAGCCAGCAATTGTCCTTTGCGTTCATCTCATGTTTCAGGTCAGACCGTTCACATATGCATCCCGCAAGTCCCCTTCTGAAAATTTTAAGGTGCCAACGTTAGTAGCCTACAGGCAGCCTATCTCATTAAACACCCAGCCCTTGTTGCAGAAATCCCAAGGCAGTTTCGATCACTGTCCCATATAATGTCAAACATGTCTCGAAAATCAGTCCTGAAAAGAAACAGATTCGCGGTCGACGATGAGGAAATGTTTTTGCCATCCACACTCCGTCGTAATTAATTTTAATTAAAATACTGAAGTGGCTCCTGCGTTGTAATCCAAAGCGTTGCGGTTCATGCGACGAAAGGCGTTGTGCAGTTCTAACACGAGTTGTTTATGATGATTATCAGTAAAGCCGGAGGATGCTAGCTCTCGCTGCGGTTTCAGCACCATGTTGCCTGGGACAGCTCCCAGGCGCGGGCCCGTTTCTCTCTCTCTCTCTCTCTCTCTCTCTCTCTCTCTCTCTCTCTCTCTCTCTCTCTCTCTCTCTCTCTGAGAGTGTGATGTGAGCAAAGGGGGCGAGCTCATGGCCAGCAAAACGAATTTAATCACGTCCTTACAATTTGTGCTACGGTATAAATGAAGACATTACTCTCATCCAGTGGGACTCAAATATGTTTCGAAATGAGAAGTGGTGATCGTTCTTGTAGTCTGCATTCCTCATCTATACGAGCCACAAACGGATTTGGTTTCAGCCCTCATGTGAGACCGACTCACAAGCACATGTTTCTAGGTCAGTGTTACCAGCGTTCGCCCCCTCTGAGACGCTGAACCCGCTGAACTCAAAGATATCAAGTAGCCTAAACGTTGTGCAGATACAGTATTTCCCGAACGTCAAGTCCAGCAATTACAGCATTACATTTTCCAGCATAAAGCCGCAGATGACATGAATATGTCTTTGGAATGATCTGGTCTTATTTTACCTCTAAGTTTGCACTGTGAAAAGACTTTGTTAAGTAAAAACTTGTGCTTGTCATAAAATAGTGTGGATGTTATAAGCAGTGGATTATTATGTTACAGTGACAATCTGTTTATGCCATTAAATTATATCATGTTAATTTAGCAACCAATGTGAGCTATTAAAGTCTATTTGCTACTGTAAATACAGTGATAACAATGCAGGTGGTGTAACAGATGGCCACAAGATGACTTAAAGTTCATTAAAATGTGTCTTTCCAGCAACTGTAATAATAACATTAAGACAGAACAACACACACACACACACACACACACACACACACACACACACACACACACACACACACACACACACACACACACACACACACACGTTGTGTTCTCATGTTTTATTGGGACTTTCCATAGACATAATGGTTTTTATACTGCCAAATGGTATATTCTATCCCCTAACCCTACCCATCACAGAAAACTTTCTGCATTTTTACATTTCCACAAAACCTCAATTATGATTTATAAGCTGTTTTCCTCATGTGGACCAAAAAAATGTACCCACAAGGACAACACACGCACGCACGGACGCAGGTACAAGCACACACACAGGCACGCACACACACTATCCAGATTTAAAATGAGAAAATTTGTAACATTTTGCTGTAAATTGTAATATACTGTCTTTTAAAGAACATATCATTTTAAACTGTAAGTAACAGTTAATCAGTTATTTTTCTATTAAAAGTACTAAAATGTTTTACACTCCACTGAAAAACTTTTGTCAGAGACCGTAAAGTGTAATTCACGAGGTAACATGCGGTAAATGAACTAGTTTTATTCAAATACCAAAAATATGATGTAATAGCACAAAAACAACCTGAATACATTAGGTTACACCATGCAGCAAAAGTAATTTTAAGGGTAAAATAAGACATAGTTCCGGTAACAATTGCTTTTTATTACGTGGGTTATTGGCAGAAAATCTGTATATTATACTGGCCAAATGACAAAAAAAAAAAAAAAAACACTGTTAAATACAGGTAAATTCTACTTATCAAGAAAGCAAAAATATAGATTTGTCCTGTTGGGCAAAAACTGCCCAGCGATGGGAGTATAAAAATCCTCTACAACTGAAGCGGAGAGAATTGAGGGAAATACACAGAATAGATTGAGACATTTGTCTAGCTGAAACACTAACCATCCATGGCAGACTGGCCTGTATATTTCACTGGTTGTGAGCCATTTCCCCCATGATGTGGAGGAGAAATTCAACTTGGAAGACTTCAGCATTTCAGAGAAGTTCCTATTACTCATTATGCTCAAAAAGACAAAACATACCTTTGTTATTCAAACATTTGTAGGAATTATCCCTTGGGTCTCAGGAATTTCATTGCTTATTTATCTTAACAAAAAGCACAGGAGTTTTAAATAAATTCATGCTTCGTTAAATATCCCTTGAGATTCCTGAGCTGACTGGCTTTTTTTGTGCTTTGGGATACTACAGCTTTAGCAGATTTCACTGGAGTGATGGGTAAAGCCATCGTAATGAATGTCTTTGTGCATGTTCTGGGAGGAGTTGTGGTGGCTCACAGCCTCTTCCACACTCCTGTGAAGATAAGCCATGGAGACAGAAGATGGTAAACCATGGATAAAGAGTCATGTACAGACCAAACCAAAGCTAAGAGAGCCGGTCATGTGTGAACCGATGCCCCTGTCTGACTGGCTGTTGATAGTAGAGTGAGAAGTTTACAACTGATTGACAGTGAGAGCATTTTATGACTGAACAGAGAAGAGTTTATGATCAACATGATGTTAATATTTTGAATGTAAGAAGTCATTTAGAAGATACTTTCCTCTAATGCAATTTGCAAACTACTGATGCATCATCCCAACCCGAGCTCAGCCATATATTTTTACACCACCTTTAGCATGAAAAGCCAGGACAAGATAACTGTATCTGTAAGCGTTTCATTCAGACTTGTCAGAGTAGGTAAGATTTGCCTATCGCAATAGTAGAATAAGTACCCCTTAGTTCTAAAATACTTCCAGATGAAAATAATAAGCTAAATTTACTTACTACATTTACTTTTGTTGTATATGAATTACATAGAAAACTTTCTGACATTTAGTACATGGAATGTTGAGTTGTGTTAAAGCGTCTTTTCAATAATTGACTGCAATCAATTGAAAACACTTATAGACATTTTCTATCTTTGCTAATCATTGTTGAGAAAAATATGACTGAACATATTGCCAAAAGTTTTGGGACGCCTGCCTTTACATGCACATGAACTTGAATGGCATCCCATTCTTAATCCATAGGGTTTAATATGGAATTGGCCCACCCTTTGCAGCTATAACAGCTTCAACTCTTCTGGGAAGGCTTTCCACAAGGTTTAGGAGTGTGTTTATGGGAATTTTTGACCATTCTTCTAGAAGCGTATTTGTGCGGTCAGGCACTGATGTTGGACGAGAAGGCCTAGCTCGCAGTCTCTGCTCTAATTCGTCTCAAAGGTGTTCTATTGGGTTGAGGTCAGGACTCTGTGCAGGCCAGTCAAGTTCCTCCACACCAAACTCGCTCATCCATGTCTTTATGGACCTTGCTTTGTGCACTGATGCGCAGTCATGTTGGAACAAGAATGGGAAAGTTCCTTTCACTGGAACTAAGGGGCCAAGCCCAACCCCTGAAAAACAACCTCAAACAATAATCCCCCCTCAACCAAACTTTACACTTGGCACAATAGAGTCAGGCAAGTACCGTTCTCCTGGCAACCGCCAAACCCAAACTCGTCCATCGGAATTGCCAGACAGAGAAGCGTGATTCGTCACTCCAGAGAACATGTCTCCACTGCTCTACAGCTTTACACCACTGCATCCGACACTTTGCATTGCACTTGGTGATGTAAGGCTTGGATGCAGCTGCTCGGCCATGGAAACTCGCACTGTTCTTGAGCTAATCTGAAGGCCACATGAAGTTTGGAGGTCTGAAGCTATTGACTCTGCAGAAAGTTCTGCGCACTGTGCACCTCAGCATGCGCTGACCCCGCTCTGTGATTTTACGTGGCCTACCACTTCGTGGCTGAGTTGCTGTTGTTCCCAATTGCTTCCACTTTGTTATAATACCACTAACAGTTGACCGTGGAATATTTAGTAGTGAGGAAATTTCACGAATGGACTTAATGCACAGGTGGCAACCTATCACGGTACCATGCTTGAATTCACTGAGCTCCTGAGAGCGACCCATTCTTTCACAAATGTTTGTAGAAGCAGTTTGCATGCCAAGGTGCTTGATACAACTCTGGCCATGGAAGTGATTGGAACACCTGAATTCAATGATTTGGAGGGGTGTCCCAATATTTTTGGCAATATAGTGTACGTATATTCCTTCGTAATTGCAGCTTGGGAGAGTATCCCAGCT